TTTTTTTTTTTAAATAGAATTTTGCTCTTATGGCCCAGGCTGGAGTACAATGGCACGATCTCCGCTCACTGCAACCTCCACCTCCTGGGTTCAAGTGATTCTCCAGTTTCAACCTCCCAAGTGGCTGGGATTACAGGCGTGTACCACCACGCCCAGCTAATTTTATATTTTTAGTAGAGTTGGGGTTTCTCCATGTTGGTCATGCTAGTCTCAAACTCCCAACCTCAAGTGATCTGCCCGCCTCAGCCTCCCAAAGTGCTGGGATTACAGGCGTGAGCCACCGCTCCCGGCTCTTACTCCTTTTCTTAAAGTTCTTTTTTTTTTTTTTTTGTCCTAATCCAGTGGTTCTGAACAGGATAAGGAAGAGGAAACATCTGTATTTTGAAAAGCATCTCCAGGTGATGCCAGTAGGCCCTGGTTTCTGAGAAACACTGCCCCAGCGTATACAGGTTAACTTTCAACCGTTCACTAGCAAAAAAATTGTGCAAGCTCTTCCTCAAACCGAAATCATCACCATTGTATTTTTCAGAATTTTTTATTTCAGTAGCTTTTGGGGTACAAGTGGTTTTTCATTACATGGACAAATTCTGTAGTGGTGAATTCTGAGATTTCAGTGTGCCATCACCTGAATCATGTACATTGTACCTAATGTCTACTTTTTTTATGCCCGCCCTCCTCCCATCCTCCCCATCACCATTTATGATGAAACTTTTAGACTTGAGTTTGAGGAAAACTAAATGAAGAAATAAAGGCAATATGCATTACAAAAAAAATCAGAATTTAAAATTTGTAAAGTTCCTTATTTATGGGTCGCTTAGATATAGGCTTGAAACTGATAAAGGGAATTTTTTTAAAATTATGTACAAAGCCAGAATGCCAATGCATTAAATTACAGTGAAATTTGGAACTTACATAGACTACAATAGTTACATTGGCGTTACTAGTGAACCCTTCCTCCCTCTAGACTATTTGTTCTTTAAAAATGTATTGAACACACATATAACTATAACCTAGATTCTGCAAATGCTGCCATAGGTGCATCGTTTATATTTCCTGCTAAATGGTTTCAAAGTAAGTGACAGATGTCATGACACTATCCTAAATACTTCAGTGTCTGTTTCTTAAGAATTTCATTTTCACACCTAAGGAAATTAATAAGCCGGGCGCGGTGGCTCATGCCTGTAACCACAACACTTTGGGAGGCCAAGGAGGGTGGATTGTTTGAGGTCAGGAGTTCAAGACCAGCCTGGCTAACATGGTGAAACCCCATCTCTACTAAAAATACAAAAATTAGCCAGGCAGTAGTGGTGCATACCTGTAATCCCGGCTACTTGGGGGGCTGAGGCAGGAGAATCGCTTGAGCCTGCGAGGCGGAGGTTGTGGTGAGCCAAGGTCACCCCACTGCACTCCAGTCTGGGTGACAGAGTGAGACCCTATCTCAAAAAAAAAAAAAAAAAAAGGAAAATTAACAATACTTCCCTAATAGTAGCTAATACCTATTCCCTATTCAGATTTTTCCCTCATTCCCAACATGTCTTTTCAGCATAATTATGTCTTGTGGATTTTTTACTCAAGAATAGCTTCCCCCTTCCCTTTCCATTCCCAATAGCCTTGGCTTTTTTAGACACTAACCAGTTGTCTTGTCCCATCTGGATTCGACAAGCTTGTTTCCTTGTGCTGTCTTCTATTTTGTTCCTCTGAGTCTGGCCCTTGTATCCCCTGGAAACTGGAAGTCAGGTCCTGACCCTGCATCAGGTTCAGGTCGTATCTTTTTGACAAGGCTGCTTCATAGTAGGCGCTGTGCACTTTGGGTGGCTTCCCATCCAGATATGTGACAAGGATGGCAGGTTGTCCCACTGTTAGACATGCCGAATCTGATGTTTGGTTAGGATGACAGACAGCTGTCTCCTCGGCAGATATGCTTTTCCATTTCGGTTTAAAGTAATCTGTGGGTGACCCTTTGGCATCAGCTCTCTTGCATCCATCCCTGCCTGAATCAGTGGTTTCATTGAGGTTGGAAAAATGGTGATTTTCTTTCTTTAAAAAAACAAAAACAGTGTCTTGCTCTGTTGTCCAGACTGGAGTGCAGTGGTGCGATCACAGCTCACTGCAGCCTCAACCTCCTGGGCTCAAGTGAACCTCTTTCCTCAGTCTCCCAAGTAGCTGAGAGTACAGCTGCGTGTCAACACACCCAGCTAATTTATTTTTTGTAGAGACTGGGTCTTGCTACGTAGCCCAGGCTGGTCTCAAACTCCTGGCCATAAGTGATCCTCTCACCTTGGCTTCCCAAAGTGCTGGGATTACAGGTATGAGACATCGTGTGTGACATGATTTTCTAATTAATTTATTTTTCTTTTGTTTTTATTAGCTGTCATTCTCCTTTAAAGAAGAGCTTTTCCTCATCAGCAAGGGATGATTACATTTCTTCCTAAAAAGGTAGGATAAATGCTCAGTTTTTAAAATTTAATTACCAATTTTCAAAGTAAAGAATCAAGATAATAGTCCCATGCAGTTGTGGCAAATTATCATTTTCATAGATTTTTGCATATTCAGTGTGTTGCCATGAATGACAGTAATTATGCCTTAATGTTTAAATTACACCAGAATTGACCAGTGGGAGTCTCTTCATGCTGCCAAACTGTAAATGACATGTAAACAAACAAAATCATGATGCCGTCATGAAAATCTGAAAGCTAGATAGTTGATGAAATAAAGGAACTGTTTTTAATTGGGATCGTGTTATTGTGATTATCAAAAATATTAAAGAGTACCTCTTAGAGATAACATACCATTTACCGAACAAGTAGGATTGACTTTGAAATAGTTCCTGGATGTTGGGGAGGGAGATAGTTGAGGGGGTAAAGATGAAACCATATGCTGTTTATTATCCAGTTGTTTCTGTACAAGGTTGAAAAGCTTCCTAATAAAAAGTTTTAAAATTATGAATTCATGTTGATAGCTGCAATTTAAATTTAATATTACAGGTTGTTTTAATTTTGTATTTATATTTTTATCTATAAGGGCCTATTTTGAAGAAACATATATTTTCAGTTTTGCTGATTTAAAGCCAGTATTGAGTTATTATTAAAGCTTAATTGCAGTGAATTGCATTGCCTGCTATATACATCAAAAACATTTGAAGCTTTTTAAAAATTTAAGTTTAAATTTGAATAATGGCAAAAGACGTTAAAAATTATATAGTTCCAGTGTTTTTCTACTCTTTCCTTTTCCTTCATTTCCTTCTTGGAAAGTGTTTTTAAAGCTTTTTAGAAAACGTACATCATTTTTCTGAAACAGTCTTTATTTTTTAAATAAATAAAATGTATTTTGAAGTATAAAAATAATACTTTCTCATTTAAAAAAATTGAGAAATACTGGCAATTAGAAAAAATAGGGGAAAGAATTGCTTTTGCCTTCAACCTCAGCATTTTTATAATTTTTTCCCATCTTTTCCTATATCTAGTTATTTTGTTTGCTTGTTTGCAAAAATCCTACATTTTGAAATATTTTTATTTTCATATGTTGATAATTTATTAAACAAGGCACTTTAGCTTTTATTTGTAACTACTAAGGGAAAAAGATAGCCAATATTGAGTTATTAGTATTAAAACTTAATTGCAGTGAACTGTTTTGTCTACTGTATACATCAAGAAAATTTAAATAATTTATATATACCTATTTAGTAACATGATTTTACACGTGGTAACTTCTATATCCTTGTTGCTAATACAGACTTTGGAAAGAAGCGACACTGATTCTAGACATAAAGTTTATAGAGCAGGCTTGTAAGCAGGAACTTACAGTCCACTAGCAGAATACCTAATGAAATTTGGGACGGGATGCTGCTGCTAGTTTTCTGATGATAAGTGAAAAAAAAAAAACTTCTCTGATCTCTTCAGATTTTTCTTCTTTTTTGGTTTGGAGGCTTCCACCATTCACAAAAGATCTGACGTTTTATTAAACGGTGTTTCGGTGACTTAAAAGCAGTTTGCTCCCACTTTAGAGCCTTTATAGCATCTACAGCTGGAGGTAATCTACAACAGGGGGTAATAACCATAAATCAATGCATGTCATACACAGTGGATGGAGCATCTGGCCACAGGTCCTCACAAAGACTGGGAGCATCTGAAATGCCAGCTAGAAATGTGGGGGGTGTGGCTTGTAGGCATTCCTGTGCATTGGTGGGGTGTGACACATCCGAAGGCATAGAGGTTCAATGCCAGCAGCCCTGCCATAGCTCCTTGGCTGTTTCCTTTGGCCTGTGGATTCATTTGACAAGTACATGCTGAGCCAGGCAAGGTAATGGGTTTGAGGTTTGGGGTGTGCTGTTTTGTAAAGGGGTCAGGGAACGGCTCGCTGAGTAGGTAGCATTTGAGCAGAGAAGAGGTAAATGAACCAAAGGCTGTCTGAGGGAAGAGTGTTGCGGGGAGAGAGAACTTCTGGGTGCAAGGACTCAGAAGAGGGGTGTGTTCAGTGTTTACAAGGAAGCCAGAACAGAGTGAGCCAGAGGAAGCACAGTTGTCACAGGCCAGGTCACAGAGGGCATGGTAGGTCATTACAAGGACTTGGCTTTTACTTGGAGTGACATAGGACCCAGGGGAGGGTTGTGGGGTTGTGGGTAGAGGAGGAACGTGATCCAACTTACACATTTTTAAGGATTTCTCTGTGTGCCCTGGCAGTAATAAACCCTAGGGCGTGAGGGCAGAGGCAGGAAGACCAGGCAGGAAGCTGTCTGCTGTGACGCAGTTGAATGGCACGCGCGGCGGTTTGGGAGTGGGATGATAGCAGTGGAGAAGGTGAGAAGCAGTTATACTGGTTGAACGGCAGGTTTTGCAGATGGATTGTTGAGAGAAAATGGAGAGTCAAGGATAACTTTGGTATTTTTGGCCTGAGCAACCAGAAGAATGTATTGCCATTATATGAGACAGGGGAGACTGAGAGAGGAGCAAGTTTCACATGGAAAGTGAAGCATTGAACTTTGGACATGTTAACTCTCCATGACTTACATATCTAAGTGGAGATGTTGGGTAGGCAGCTTACGCTACAGGTGTGGAACTCAGAAGAGACTGGCAATAGAGCTATAAATTAAGAGTGCTGGGTGTTGCCAAGCTGGGTAAGGAGGGTGTTGAGAATATGCACGTCCATCACTTTCTATTTAATTTACCATATTTTTTTATATCACTCTGGAACATGAGGGATGAGGGATCAGTGGGTTGTACAGCCCAGTGGGATCAAAGCCAGGGACCAGAAAGAATTTCCAGTTTTAAACACCGCAGGAGGTTCTGGGACCATTCTTTGAGAAGCACCCTGAAGACACCTTCTGTTTTCTTATTTCATGTTTGAGAAGTCATACCTTTCTGTTAGTGATTCTCTAATGATTCCTAGCATGCCCTAGATGAGATGAATGGATCCTCTCAGCACTCTTTAAGCCTGTACTTATGATTTACCAAATGCATGAATGAAAGGAGAGAGATGCAGTTCAAACATCAATGTGCCATTTGTAAGTGCTTCAAATTCAATCTTAGACCCATGAAGTAAAACCACGGTCACCATACATGCCTCTGTTAACATTTGGTACTAATACCTGCCTTGCCTTGAGAATGATCTTTATAGTTTATGAGGTCAGCACTTTGATTTATGTCACAGTGTTTTCTGACAGTCTCAGTTATTCTTCCAGTGAGCTGGCTTCTTTCCTGGAGAGGTCCCTTTCCCATAAGGTGTTCCTATCTGCTGTATACCATCAGATGTATTGAAAAGTTGTTAACAGTTAATTATATTAAAAGTTTATCAATTGGTGTTTATGAATCACCAAGCATTTTACATACTGCACCCTCATAAATAAACCCCTAAGATGATATTCACTTTTGGAGTTGGCACTACAAGATACATGAGAGATTACAGTTGGCCCTAGAACAACACCAGTTTGAACTGCATGGGGTCCACGTACATGTGAATTTTCCTCCACCTGTGCCACCCCTGAGAGCACAAGACCAACCCCTCCTCCTGCTCCTCTTCCTCAGCCTATTTGATGTGAAGACAGTAAGGATGAAGACCTTTATGGTGATCCTCTTTCACTTAATAGTAAATACATTTTCTCTTTATGATTTTCTTAATCACATTTTCTTTTCTCTAACCTCCTCTTATAAGAATACAGCATATAATACACACAAAATATGTGTCAATCAACTGTTTATGTTATTTGTAAGGCTTTCAGTCAACAGTAGGCTGTTAGTAAGTTTTTGAGGAGTCAGAAGTTATACACAGATTTTCAACTGCACAGGGGGTGTGTTTCCCTAAGCCCCAAGTTGTTCAGGGGTCAACTAAATAGTCAAACGAGATGATCTGTACAGAAAAAAAAAAAAAAAAGTGAAAACAAAATGCTATGTAAATCCTGTTTACTCTAATAGCCACTTGTCTTGGGGACAGTACCACCATGAGTTAGTCTGGCCAGAGTCACCTGCTAGTCCACTTTATAAGTGTAGACTTTTGTGTGTGGATCTGAAAGTCCAGAGAACAGCATTTCCCTCACACTTGCAATTACAGTCTCCACAGCCTCACACACACCCTGCCACGTACCACAGTGTCAGACCACGGGAATAAGTGATTGAATTTTAATGAACTCTTCTTACTTTCTTAGGATGGCTGCTCTTTTCCTAAAGAGGTTAACACTACAAGCCGTAAAGTCTGAAAACAGTTGGATTAGATGTTTTGGTAAACACATTGTGCAGAAGACAGCACGAGCACAGTCGACCCCTATTGCTTCTGCCCCAAGATTCTCCTTCCTAGTTCATGCAAAAGCCTTTAGTACCGCTGAAGACACCCAGAATGAAGGAAAAAGTGAAAAAAAGAGTGGCACAGCTTTTAGTAACACTGGAAGAAAAATCAGTGAGCGAATTATTCGCGTATTTGATGAGAACGGCAATGATTTGGGAAGCATGCACCGAGCAGATGTGATTAAACTCATGGAGAAGCGAGAGCTGCGGCTGGTTCAAAGGAACGCTAGCGCAGAGCCTGCTGAGTACCAGCTCATGACAGGAGTGCAGATCCACCAGGAACGGCTGAGGCTGAGGGAGATGGGGAAGGCTAACCCCAAAACTGGTAGGTATTTTGCTGTTGGCTCCCTGAATCCTTTAAGAGCTACAAATCAGCAGTTTAAATCCTAGCATTTGTCAAGGTGCCAGTGTCAATAGGGAAATGAGAAACTGGAAAATTCACAATTCCACCACCATTCCCAGTGTCTATGTGTTTGCTCCTTCATTCTTCACTTACATCTGTTCCCTTTTTTCCGTTTTTCCATAATACCCTCCCCATTGTCTCTTCCTTTTAAATCTATGTAAAATGAGGGCACTACCAGGAGAACACACCAACGTGAAGAGAACTCTTTCCCCTGTCCTATGGTCTTCTCCCAGTGCCGCAGCAAGCAGAGTAGCTGATGGGTGAAATGGAATGAGATTAGGAGGGGAGCGTTTAAGTTCCCTGCCCTCTGCCTTTCACTGGGCCACTCATTTAACCTTTCTCTTTTTGTATTTCTTCCCCTTCTTCAGCTCTAAAGTGGAGGTGTTTGGTGAATTATCTGGAAGAATGTTTTTATTTTTTTGAGATGGTGTCTCTGCCTGTCGCCCAGGCTGGAGTGCAGTGGTGTGATGTCGGTTCACTGCAACCTCCTCCTCTCAGGCTCAAGAGATTCTCCTGCCTCAGCCTCTCCAGTGGCTCGCCACCACGCCCAGCTAATTGTTGTATTTTTAATAGAGACAGGGTTTCACCATGTTGGCCAGGCTGGTCTCGAACTCCTGGCTTCTGCCTGCCTCGGCCTCCCAAAGTGCTGGGATTACAGGCATGAGCCACTGTGCCCAGCCTGGAAGTGCCTTTTAAACTCTAAAGTGATTCACAGAGCATCTCCCATCCCAAAGCGTTTTGTTACAATATCAGTAGCAACACTCATTTATATATTTGACCCGTCACTTCACAAGGCACTTGTCTTTTAAGCCTCACAGAAGACATGAATTGGATATTAAGCAAAGATGTTTTTCATAGTTCCCAAAAAGTGCTGATCATTATGAAAGTTCAGTGGATGGTGCATGGGGACAGGCGTCAGATGACTGCTTCCAGCACTGCATGAGGTTGTGTGCCTTCAGAAAATCACGTTATGTGCATTATCCATGGCTCAGTTTTGTAACACCACATTTAACAAGGATGTTGACTGGAAAACAAAAAGTGTATATATATTCAGAAGAGACCAGGGAGGATAATGACATCAAACTATGTCACCAGTCTGGCCAACATGGTGAAACCCCGTTTCTACTAAAAATAAAAAATAAAAAAAGTCACTGGGCATGGTGGCTCATGCCTGTAATCCCAGCACTTTGGGAGGCCAAGGCAGGTGGATGGCTTGAACTCAGGAGTTCAATACCAGCCTGGACAATATAGCAAAACCCCATCCTCATCGCTACAAAAAATTTAAAAATTAGCCAGGTGTGGTGGTGCAAACCTGTGGTTCCAGCTACTCGGGAGGCAGAGGTGGGAGGATCACTTGAGCCTGGTAGGCCAAGGCTGTAGTGAGGAACTATGATCATGCCACTGCACTTTAGCCTGGGTGGCAGAGCGAGACCCTGTCCCAAATAAATCAATAAATAAATAAGAAAGAAAGAACGAAAAAAAGAAAGGGTCTCATTTTGTTGCCCAGGCTGGAGTGCAGTGGTGTGATCTTGGCTCACTGCAGCCTCCATCTCCTGGGATCCAGTAAGCCTCCCATGCAGCTGGGACGACAGGCACACACCACCATGCCTGACTTTTATGTTTCGTAGAGATGGGCCTTGCTATCTTGCTCAAGACAATCTGCCTGCCTCAGCCTCCCAAAGTGCCTGGCCCCCAGTCTTTATGATGAACACTGGTGCATACTTCAGGGTCTGTGAACCTAAATGGATCAAACTGCTCTAGCAGCAGTGTATGCAATTTCTCTACCTCCTCACCTCATACTGTCAGACTCTAGTTTTTGTCATTTTGCGAAATTAACGTGTATTTCACTATCTTTTTTTCTTCGGTGAATTGCCTACTTATACTCCTTTTTCTACTTAGATGGATTATTTTTCTTCCTGATTTATAGGGTTCTCTGTTGTACATGATGCAAAAAAACCTTATCTTGGTTAGATTTTAACTGTTTTTTTTTTTTTTTT